ATCTTAATTCAAGGTGCAAAACTTGAAGTCATATAGACCTAAGTTCAAGTCCCAGCCCTGCCATCTACTAACTGTGTGACATTAAGTTACTGAACCTTCCTAAAATGGGGATTAAAAGTAGTATTTACCTCATGACATAGCTGTAAGGATTGAACAATAGTGCATATAACAAAATGGGGCTGGGGATCGAAACTGCAACCCAGGTACAGTACATGCCCTTGACTGGAATCAAACCCACGACACTTTGGGTGCACAGGCTGGCGCTCTAACCACTGAGAAACACCAGCCAGGGCTCCATGTTTATTTTAATGACTAAAATAATGTACATACAAAAGGACTTTTGCTTTATTACACTATATCTAAAGTTAATTTCATTTAATTTAGGTCTTCAAAAGGTAGGAAAATATTTATATTTATTAGAGGCCCGGTGCACAACATTTATGCAAGGGGGGGTCTCCTCAGCTAAGCCTGCACCCTCTCCAATCTGGGACCCCTCGGGGGATCGGGCCTAAACTGACAGTCGGACATCCCTCTCACAATCCTGGACTGCAGGCTCCTAATCACTCATCTGCCTGCCTGCCTGCCTGGTCGCCCCTAACTGCCCCCCCTGCCAGCCTGATCGCTCCTCACTGCCTCTGCGTGCCAGCCTGATAGCCCCTCACTGCCCCCCCTGCCAGCCTGGTTGCCCTTAACTGCCCCCCACTGCCAGCCAGGTCGCCCCCAACTGTCCCCTCCCTGCCGGCCTGATTGCTCCTAACTGCCCCCCCACCAGCCTGGTCACCCCTTACTGCCCCCCCTGCCGCCCTGGTTGCCCCCAACGGCCCCACCTGCTGGCCTGGTCACCCCCAAATGCTCCCCCTGCCAGCCTAGTTGCCCCATGTAGCCTGCTGTTTAGTCGTTTGGTCGTCCCTCATTAAACCCTGCCAGCCTGGTTGCCCCACGCAGCCTGCTTGTTCAGTCGTTTGGTCGTCCCTCACTAACCCCCCTACCGGCTTGGTCGTAGGCAGCCATCTTGTGAGGTTGTGAGGGTTAATTTGCATATTACCTCTTTATTATAGAGGATATTTATAACGGACCTGATGTATCAGGTACTCTAGCTTTTTACATACATGTTTTATTTAATTTTGATGTTCTGAAAGTTATAAAAATGAGTTACACTGTAAGAAAATATTTTATCTTAAATGCAAATTCAGATGATAAAAATATTGAAAAACATACTGAATGTTAACAGATAAGCATCATGTTTAATAACTAAATTTAATTTGCTTCAGTCCAAGAAGAAGAAATAAAGTTCATCTCATTCTTTAAAAACTTGACTAGTAGGCAAGTCACTTGGCCTAAGTAAAGAGAATATAATTTTTCCTACACAGTGTTTTATGTTGAGTCCTGAGAATGCCTGTGCAACCATTTGTGTCTTATCTAACCAAAAAAAAAAAAAAAGTTTGAGAGTGCAATTTCATTGTAGTAGTAAAATAAAGACTCAGGAATATTTTAAAATAGAAAAATATCTTTAGTTGAGCATGTTGATTATATTGCTACTACTGGTATTTCCTAATCCTATTTCCCCCATCCATATGCTTCTTCAGTGTACATTTTCTGTTAAAATTGAGGGTCAAAGAAAATCACACTTCTGGTTCCTTCTGATAGTGTGAACCCAAAATAGCAGCCAAAGAAGGCAAACATCTGTGAAGGCTTAGTCATAGCATTTACTCACTAGTGATACCTCCTAAAGTGCCATTATTTTTATTCTCAGAAAAAAAATTTACATGCTTCTTTAGCATCTTGACCAACAACCTCTAACAACCAAAGCAATCTTCCAGGCAAACAATGTGTGCAGAAAAATAACCCCCCCCCTCAAAATTTGAAGTGGGAGATAATGCATACATTCAAAGGATATGGAAATACACTAGTATAGGCATCAATCAATAAAAAATGGGATATAAAAATCAGATTTTCAAATTCAAAATATTTTACAGTAGTATTTTAAGGCAAAGACCTACTTTCACTGAATATAATCATATGTAGTAATGTAAGTGGTGTTTTCATGAGGTAAATGTCACTAGTTAAGTGTGACATATTAATATTTAAATTAATTAACAATCTACTGTTGTGAAAAAGTTCTTTCTTAAAACAGTTTTGTTGATTGTCCTAAAACATTGAGGGAAAGCACTGACTGTCCCATCACAGTTTCCAGCAATATCACAATGCCCATGATATCCATTCATTCATCCACCATTAAACAATATGGTATTCACCCTGGCCAGGTGGCTTAGTTGGCTGGAGCATCAACTTGCACACCAAAAGGTTATGGGTCAATCCCCAGTCAGGGTGCATACAGGAGGCAACCGATCAATGTTTCTCTCTCATATTGATGTTTTTCTCTTTCTCTTCCTTCCTCTCTCTCTAAAAATCAATAAAAACATATCCGTGGGTAAGGATTAAAAAAAATTTTTAATAAGAAAAAAAACACATTACGGTATTCTGAAAAGGGTCCATAGACTTCATCAGAGTGTCAATAGGGCTGGACACAAAAAAATGTTAAGAACCCATGGATAAAAGAATGTATTATTCTGGCCTATTTATATTTATTCAACTAACAAATATTTATTAGAACTTACTTTGTTCCATGAACAAAGTCCTAATCAAAAATATTTTGAATGAATTTTGAGGAATGCGTTTAGAAAGGAAACATAGAACATAGTAAAGTATTAATTTGAACCACAATATAAATGGTACAAAAATAATGACACAAGGAAAGCCATAAATTTAGGGACACGTCCATTTAAAGGATTTCTTAGCACTATGTAATTTGTTACTGCTAAGCTCTGACTACTATATAATCAGGCTGACAAATGACTAATTCTGGGCAGGTCCAAACAAGTAAATTCTAGTTCTGTTTGGGATTCTGTCTCCCCATCTTTGTGCAGTCTTACAAGTTAATGGTCCTACCTCCCTTTGGGTTGTCAGTCCCTCTGTTCGTCTGAAAAAGCTTTATAATTTTTCTCTTCTAAACTACAAACACTGCATGGAGTAATTACCCAGAAGCTTAGAGCACATTTACTTTGTTTATGGGGCATTTTAAAATATTATATTCACGAGGGTAGAAAACACACAGATTTTAGAAAATGTGTGGCATTTTGATATAATATATCTGAAAAGAAAGATAGAAAAATGTAAATCTGCCAAAATTCATAGAACTCAGTTTTAGGAGTTGACCACTGATTATTTAAAAGAAATAAATCATAATTATAATGAAAAGTAAACATTGGTATTAATGAGTTTGAATCAAGAAGATTATATCAAAATTTGAACTTCAAAGCAGAAACCAAGTGAATGAATGACAAGTCTGCAAATGAAAGCCAACCCTTGATGGAAAGAGCTAATGGCATAACAGTGGTTCTCAACCTTCTGGCCCTTTAAATACAGTTCCTCATGTTGTGACCCAACCATAAAATTATTTTCGTTGCTACTTCATAACTGTAATGTTGCTACTGTTATGAATCGTAATGTAAATATCTGATATGCAGGATGGTCTTAGGCGACCCCTATGAAAGGGTTGTTTGACTGCCAAAGGGGTCGCTACCCACAGGTTGAGAACCTCTGGCATAATACCTAGTCCCAGCAATGTGAAAAGGCATGAAGACCAGAAACATAGTAGCAACAGAAAAAAAGGAACAAGCCAACTCAACAGACAGTGGAGGAGGTTGGCATATGCTTCCTCCTCCCTCAGCCCACACAAAGGCAGGAATGAGCAGAGAACACCAGTGCAGCTGAGATCATGCTTTCCTGGTTCTTAATGTTATCTTCCGTGGTCTAAAAGATGGTGAATTCAGTATGTGATAAGTAATAAAATTGAATGTTTACCTTTGGGGACATTGAAGAAGTGATCTAAGAATAGTCTTCATTCTTCCCAGTCCCCCCACTACACACACATAAAACGTCCCTACTAATCAGAAGCCATTCACCTAATAGTAACTTCAGGTTTGAATGTCCCTTCTCTGATAGTAGGAGTCAAGGTCTTTGGAAGGTGATTAAGTCATGAAGGCAGAGCCCCTATACGTGGAATTAGTGCCTTTATAAAAGAGGCCCAAGAAATCTCCATTGCCCCTTCTGCCATGTGAGGTTACAGCAAAAGGGCAGACATCTAAGAAACCATCTTTCACCAGAAACCAAATGTGCCAGCACCTTTATCTTGGACTTGCCAGCCTTCAGAACTCTGAGAAATAAATTTCTGTTGTTTATAAGCTACTCAAACTCTGGCATTTTGTTATAGCAGCCCCAATAGACTAAGTTACATTTTACAGAGATAACTTCACTCTGATCATAATTTCTCTTCCTTTTAAAAACTAGATCAGGAACATATTCTTCTACACTTTCACATTCAATAGTTTTGTTTTCTGTTTTACATAATAACATTTGTAATGACAGTCTTTACACCTTTGAGAGATGCTTTCTTTTGTGCCAAAGTACACAAAACAAAAAAGAGTAAGTAGCATCAAAAAGCATTCAAATTTAAACATAGGCATTACACTCCCAGATGCTGATGTCAGTTGTCAGTTATTGGTAAATATACTACTGTTGTCATCAAAATCTTGGGAGGAGGTAGGTGTTATAAAAGCCACATGAATCCTCCTTCATGGCTAAATAAGGTAGTTAAAGCTGTATAGTTTATCTCTTCAGAAACCTTCCTCAACACATCAGCAAAGGAAATTAAAATATTAATTAAACCCTTTTCATTAGATGTAGCCATGAAGACAATGCTTTCATGCTACCCAGATAATCTATAATAATAAAAGTGTAATATGCTAATTAGACCAAACAGCCGAACGACCTTCCAGGTGTTCTTCCGGACGACCTTCTGGACAAAGCCCCGGAGGCAAGCCACCGCAGCTGCAAGGGCCGAGTCTCTTGCACGAATTTTGTGTATCAGGCCTCTAGTGTTGTAATAAAATGAATAAGACATGAGAAATGTTACCGTATCTCAGAGCAAGCTTCCAACCAGGCATGATCAATTGGTCTTATTAAGAGTGGGCACCTGCGTTATTTCTCATGTGCTATACAAATAGTTGAAGGTTAATTAGCAGTATAACTAAGTAGTAATGCTGCCAGTCTCCTTCAGACAAACAAACAAACAAAAAGAGTGGGCACCTGACCTCAAATGGGTCTATTGGTCTCTTTCTCAGGAATTTTAAAACTGGAACTGAGAGGAACAGATCCCCAAATTACCCCCAAGTGTCTCACCTCCTGTTTTTCACATACTTGTGTAGTCCCCTCCAACACTGAAGGGGGCTAACTTGTATAACTATATTAAAGAAAAACAGTATTATTTCCATGTATAGGTCATAGAAAATGTTACAGATTTATAATGCTATATATAAATTATACTTTAATAAAAATTAAAAATAAGTAGAATAATAAAATTTCAAAATAAATTACAGCCTCTGTCTTGCTCCTTTAATCACTCACTCTGTTTTTTGTGGGGGTTTTTAATACTCACCGGAGAATATTTTTCCATTGATTTTTAGAGAGAGTGGAAGAGAGAGGGAAAGACAGAGAGAAACATCCATGTAAGAGAAACACATTGATTGGGTTGCCTCCTCCGTGGGCTTGGCCAGGGAGGAGGCTGCAACCCAGGTACATGCCCTTGACTGGGATCAAACCCAGGATCCTTCAGTCCACAGGCCCACGCTCTATCCACTGAGCCAAACCGGCTATGGCTGAGGAAGCCAGATAACATGTCGTGAGAACACTTAGACATCCCTATGAACATGTCCACATTGCATGGAACTGACACCTCCTGCCAACAATCAGTATTAACTTAGCAGGCAGATAAAAATTGGTCAGGTATTTTTAGGAAGTACCCTAAACCATATTCATTAGCATTTTTACACACACACTCACACACACACCTCTAAATATCATGATGCCTTAATCAATGATTCTCTCATCATTAATGTTTCTCTCATCATTAATGTTCTCCCTCTCCCTTCCTCTCTGAAATCAATAAAAATATATATTTTAAATAAATAAATAAATAAATAAATAAATAAATAAATATCATGATGCCTTATTTTCCAGGTAAACCCTGTGATTTCTGTTTCAAAGAGATGGTCATTGAAAAGAGTGATGTTCCCCGGAATAGGAAACTTAGAAAAAGCAAACCTGAAATTCTCAAGTGTGGTGATTCAGGGCAGCTTGCTGGGTTACATGACAGGGTATGGTTACTTCTAACAGGAACTGTCTGTTCTCAAGTACAATTCATTGCAACTGAGTTGTTGGAAACTTTGTTTTGTTTCATATTACCAGCTTCTGAAAGAAGTCAGTATTTGTGAGGTTTCAAGAAGTTTCCTCTGAAGTCAGCATTCCAATAAAACATGAACTAGATCAAGTCAGCACCCATGGAGTTGGCCTGAGGACTTATTTCTGTAGCTCTGAAATCTCAGGGGGCTTTCCTCTCCTGGGCAAGTTCCCACTTTTTCACCATTTATCTTAAGAGTTAGTAAAGGTTATCTAAATGTCACCATGTGATTAGAAAGGTAGTCATGAGATTATGCTTGAGTATGATTCCAACCAATGATTTTTTATTTAAAAAGTTTTTTAAGTACTTGTAAGTTTTAAGTTTTAAAAATTTAAAAAAATAGTGAACTGAAAGAGTTTTATTGACCGGTTTGGCTCAGTAGATAGAGTGTCGGCCTGCGGACTAACGGGTCCCGGGTTCGATTCCAGTCAAGGGCATGTACCTTGGTTGCGGGCGCATCCCCAGTGCGGGGTGTGCAGGAGGCAGCTGATCGATGTTTCTCTCTCATCAATGTTTCTGGTTCTCTATCCCTCTCCCTTCCTCTCTGTGAAAAATCAAGAGTTTTATTATAAGTATGACTTTTAATCTCAGAACTACTTTAAAAGAGTAATAATTAAGCTTTTGGGACTGCATCTGGGCTCTCAAAATTCTAAATGCTCTTGTTCTCTAAAAGGATTGGTTTTCTCATTTCTCTAATAAGCAAAATTATAAGAGCAACTAAAATCTTGACAGTAAAGATAAAAATAAAAATACTTGTAAGTAAAAAAAGATCATCGGACTATGAATAAAATATTTATTTACTAACTAACTAGAGGCCCAGTGCATGAAATTCATGGGGGGGATCCCTCAGCCCGGCCTGTGCCCTCTTGCAGTCCAGGAGCCCTTGGGGGATGTCCAACCAACAGCTTAGGCAGTCAGACATCCTTAGCGCTGCCGCCGAGGAGGTGGGAGAAGCTCCTGCCACCACCACTACATTCGTTCTGCGTTCACCAGCCTTGAGCCCAGCTTCTGGCTGAGCAGCACTCCCCCTGTGGGAGCACACTGACCACCAGGGGGCAGCTCCTGCATTGAGTGTCTGCCCCCTGGTGGTCAGTGCATGTCATAGCAACCGGTCTTTCTGCCGTTCGGTCAATTTGCATATTAGCTTTTTCTTAGATAGGATTATTAGTTATTAATAAGGGATAATGGGAGTACAGATGATAATTGTATTACTCCTCTTGTTTTGGCGGTAGGATAATAACTTCAAGGGGAAGGGTACATACTCCATCACAAGTTCTTTTGTTACTCCTGAGGCAATGTTGCCTTCAATCAATCTACCCCTCACTCACTCAGGCTCTGTGAAGCAAGCAGAATTCACAATGTAATTTTAAAACATTAGACTTAAGCCCTGACCAGTTTGGCTCAGTGGCTAGAGCGTTGGCCTGTGGACTGAAGAGTCCCAGGTTCAATTCCGGTCAAGGGCATGTACCTTGGTTGCGGGCACATCCCCAGTAGGGGGTGTGCAGGAGGCAGCTGATGGATGTTTCTCTCTCATGGATGTTCCTAACTCTCTATCCCTCTCCATTCCTCTCTGTAAAAAATCAATAAAATATATTTTCAAAAAAAAACATTAGACTTAAGCTCCAAATGGAGTTTATCTTTAGGCAGCTTTTCTATCCCCTTGCAGCAAATAATAAAGATTCATTAAGGCAAAGATTGCCATCTTTAAAAATTTATTAAGAATCAAGTTTTTAAAACCTCAGTGAACCTCCTTTTGATAATTTTACCAGTCTCCAACTGGTTTTCAATGAAACTGATTATCATCATCAGAAAGCCAGTGAAGGGAAACATTGGAAGCTATATTTTCTTGCTTGCGCCTATCTTTAGCCAAGTCTCCCTCTCAATTAGAACCTCAAGGAAGATTCTCTTGCTTCTTCTATCTACCATCTCCTGGTATCTTGATATTAATTATTTTCTTAAACTCCTTGGCATGTAATACAAACTTTACTTATCTCTTGGCCCCAGTAGGAAGTCTTCTTCATAAATAATATATAGCTCTTTGGCCTATTCATTAGAAGCATATTGCCCCTCACAAACCAGCTTCTTGAATATCCCTCAAGTGGATGTGTGTTGCACTGCCCAGATCCACCTTTATGACCAAGACACTCATTTCCATGGTTGCAGGAGTTTTGGCTACTGAGGGCTCACAACTCAATTCTCCCTCAGGGATTGCTCACAACCAAAGGAAGCTGCCTCATCCAAGGTCCACTCCTCTTCCCCAAGGGGTGCCCATATGCAAAAAGTGGCCATGTGCAGGATACAATTGTCCCCTCTTCTCAACTTCAGACAAGTCTGAAAGAACATCCTAGCTCTAAAGCTACCCATGGAATTCACAGAGGCCTTTGTTGTCCCTGCCGCACAGGTCAGCTTCTCCTTCTGCCCAGTCCTGCTTCTTTACTATCCCAAAGGTGTCAATCCCAAAGACACTTCACAGTGAATTTCCTACATGCTAATCTCTGCTTCAGAGTCTGCTTCCTAGGAAGCCTAACCTGTGAGAATTCTTTCGGTCCTATTCACACCACCACTTTCTGTTATCATTTAATAATCTCAAAATTTGGTGGTGACTTATATAGTCATGGTAGACTAACTTCTGTAATAAACAATTCCAAACTATTAGTGGTTTAACACAACAAAATGTGCTTCTTACTCATTTTGTGGTGCATCGAAGTTCAATGGAGAGAGGAGCAGTTATTTAGGGATCCAGACTCCATCCAGGTTTTGGCTCAACTCTTTTCTAGGAGTCTTGTCCTGCTGCTGAGAGATAAGGAAACAAAATAAGAAAATGCATGGAAGGTTTCATGGCTTGAAAGGGTACAATCAATTCTACTAACATTCCATTGGCCAGAACGCAATCATATGGCCACACTAAGTCAAGGGAGGCTGATGATCCCTAGCAGTCTTTGCCACTCATTTATGGAATACTTGTGATTTTCAAATATCTCCTTTCCATGACAGGTGACATCTTTGTATCACCCTTCAACTTGTAAAGACTGAAAACTCTACCTTTATTAAAGATTTTAAAAAGAGTCATGATCCCACCACTTGAATAAAAGTCAATGTAGTTTTGTGTGTGTTATGTACGTGCCTGTGTATATCTTTAACAAATAAGAGCTTTTTAAAAGAGAATCATAATATCATTATCAGACCTAATAAAATTGATAATTACTTACTATGTCTAATATTCAGTATGTGTACACATTCATCTGGTTGTTCTTCAACAGTCTTTTTCTGAAGGTTTTTTAATTCCTGGACAGTTACTGATAGATATGTCATAGTTGCAGCAACTGGCCATGTCAATGTTCCAACTAAACCACCTTCCTAAAACGTCTGTGGGATCTATTTACTCCTCTTTGAACTACTCTGATTTTGTCACAGTTATAGCCAGGCCATTTTCAAAACCATAAACTAAACTTTCTTGGATTCTCTGAGGCCAGCTGGTAGTTTGTGTTTTCTTTTCAACAGACTGTCTTCATCCATTTTCTTAATAATCAATCACCCTTTCAACCATGGTACTACCTAGTCCAGCCGTGGGCAAACTACGGCCCGCGGGCCGGATCCGGCCAGTTTGAAATGAATAAAACTAAGAAAAAAAAAGACCGTACCCTTTTATGTAATAATGTTTACTTTGAATTTATATTAGTTCACACAAACACTCCATTCATGCTTTTGTTCTGGCCCTCCGGTCCAGTTTAAGAACCCATTGTGGCCCTCGAGTCAAAAAGTTTGCCCACCCCTGACCTAGTCCTTCAATTGAAACTCTTACAAATGCCACAAGGCTTGTGGCCACT